GAACGCGATGCTTAAACTACCACAACATATGCGAACCATCACTTGCGAACGCGTGGAAGAAGAATTACTATGCTCCAATTTCCCTTACGCGATCGCACCACTAAGTCCACAATCGCGATGAAGAAATGCGACACCAGATATCAGCAGAACACAACAGTGAAAAATGAAGGAAACATGCTCGAGCCCCTCGGTACCCCGTCCAAACATACTAACAAGTCCTATAACATAACACGAACCTACTCCAGGCCTCAAAACACACATAACAAAATCGAAACGATGAAAATCACACCTCAATTCGAAATTAATAAACTTTGAAACTTCAAACTTTCACAACCGATGCTGAAACCTATTAAATCACGTCCAATTGACCTCAAATTTTGCACACAAATCATATTTGATATTACAGACCTGCTTCAACTTCCGGAATCGAAATCCGACCCCAATATCAAAAAGTCCACTCCCGGTCATACTTTTTAAAATTTCAACTTTCGCCATTTCAAGCCAAATTCTACTATAGACCTCCAAATCACAATTCGGACGCGCTCCTAAGTCTAAAATCACCCAACGGAGCTAACAGAACCATCAAAAATCCAATCTGAGGTCAAATACTAAAAAGTCAAACTTGGTCAACCCTTTCAAATTTAAAGCTTCTAGCTGAGAATTATTCTTCCAAATCAATTTCAAATAACCCGAGAACCAAACCATTCACATAAGTCATAATACATCATACGGAGCTACTCATGCCCTCAAACAACCGAGCGAAGTATAAATGCTTAAAATGGCTGGTCGGATCGTTACCGATATATTTAAACTGAAAGTACAACGAGGGGTTTATTTAAACCTTTTCTCATAGTATAGGGATGTATTTGGACCTTTTCCGCACAAACAATTAAGAACATAATCTGTAATATATTAATAAAACATTGTTAAGTATCTAGAGATAGTTTTGCCCTTAACTAATGGTCAAGGGTTCAAGTCTAGAATTTTATCTTTTTAGCATATAATATATTTTTTGGGGGGAGGGGAGGAGGAATCTCTAAAACTAATAAGACAAGAAGATTCCTAATCGAACTCTTGATCTCCTTAACAAAAATGCAGCCCAGACTAGGTGAGATAGTGGCTTTTCAAGTTAAGCAGTGCCACCTTATTTATTTGTTTTAGCTTTGGATATCAATTAGATATTCATATATTTAGTAAAAAATTCTGATCAAGCGGTGTCGGATGACATCGCTTAAGTCAAGGTACATCCGCCCCTGAATACTAGAGAAATCCACTTGCTCTGGCTCGTGTAATTGTTCTAATAAGCATGATATACCGACAGTGGTGAAGCCTAGAATTTCTTCAAGGGTGTTCAAACTTAAAGAACTGAAAAAATTCTCCAATAAAGAATGTTCAACATATATTATATACCTATAAAATCTAATATTTTACCTATATTCGCAATGTAATTTTTCGAGAAAGGGTGGTTAGTTGGGATATGTAGCTTCGCCCCTGTATACCGATACTTTACTTAATGGTAGAAATTCATAAATAATAATATTTTAATAAAATAAAAACTAGAATTACCCAAAATTTACATTACAAAAAAAAAAAAAAAAAAAAAAAAAAAAAAAAACTGAAAGAGTGAGGTGACTGAGATGAGAGCGTGGGGAGAGAGACAGAGTTGAGTCGAGTGAGAGCTTGGGCGTAATGAATACGAAGAAGATGAAACAGTTTTGTAATGTTAATTTAGAGTTTTTATTATTAACTGACTCTCTATAAAAAAATAGAATTCATTAATATATGTATCCAATCTGAGTGGTTGATTTAGTCGCATATAATTTATCGTTGAAAATGTAATAGAGTAAGTATATATATGTTGAGGCGAAAAATTCATCGAAATCATATTTTCAGCTTTTAATTAATTACTTATTTCTTCTATTTTATTTATCAACAACTATACCCATATAAAAACTCATAGATAGCCTTTCCGATGGATCGTCAATCAAAAATATATCCCACATTTTGATGCCAATTAGTTGCGGCTACCTTGAAAAACTTCCCCGTCAATATTGTTGGTATTATTTAGAAATATTATATATCATATTTGAATAATGTTTATTGTGCAAAAACCTTTGTCGCTGTTGATTTATATATAATTAAAAATTATAGTAACTAATTTTATTGTGTGAAAAGTCTTATAGCATCTTATTTATGTAAATTCAAGTTATAATAAGTGGTTTTATTGTTTGAAAAATAGTAACGACCGACCGATCGTTTTGCTTTTTAGATCTCCGTTCTCCTAATTAAGACTCGTCGTATGCGCCTTTACTGTTTTATGACTTGCGGGGATGATTGGTTCGGGTTTGGAAGAGTTCGACTGAGATCAGAACACTTAGTTCCTTAATAGTGGCCTATAATGGTCAAGTTTGGCTTGAGTCAACGTTTTAAGTAAACGACCTCAGAACTGGGCTTTGACGGTCCTAATAGGTTCATATGATGATTTTAGACTTGGGCGTGTGTTCGGATCGGATTTTGGATGACCCGGGAGCATTTCGGCGATTAATATTGAAAGTTGGCGCATTGAGGGTTTTCAAGTTCTTTTAGTTTGGGTTAGAGTAGACTTTGGTGTTATCAAGGTCCGTATTACAATCCTGGGAATAGTTCCGTATGGTGATATATAACTTGTACGCAAAATTGGTGTCATTTTGAGTAGTCTAAGTATGATTCAGCGCGTTTGGAGCTAGTTAAGAAGTTGAAGTTTATAATTTGGCTCAATTTGGATTTGGGGTATGATTCTTAATTTCGATGTTGTTTTACGTGTTCCGAAAGTTTGAGCAGGTCCATATTATATTTATGGACTTGTTGATGTCTGGATGGTTCAAGGGTGGTTCAGACCACCTGGAGTTAAGTCTAGAATTGCAGAAATTTGTTGCAGATTTCCTTCTTCACGAACGCGGAGAAAGCTTCGCGTTCGCGATGAGGGAACTGTGGGCTACTGAATTTTGTCCTACGCGATCGTGTGACGATTCGGCTGGTCATCTTAAGAATTTACACCTCGATCCCCTATTAATTGCTTTTTCCAAGTTTATTTCTGCTAATTTGATTTGCCGAGATGTTCGATTTTGAGTTTCGGAGAGTTTTGGGATACTTAGTCCCTAAATGATAGCTTAAGTGTTGAAGAGTTTACCGTAGACGGAGCAGAGTGAAGACGACCTCAAAATGGAAATCCGATGGTTCCATTAGCTCCGTTGGGTGATTTCGGGCTTAGAGGTGTGTTCGGATTGTGTTTTGGAGGTCCGTAGTTAATTTAGGCTTGAAATGCCGAAAGTTCAATTTTTTTGAAGTTTCCGGTCCGATAGTGGGATTTTGATCTGAGGGTCGGAATGGAATTCCGGAAGTTGGAGTAGCTCCGTAGTGTTGAATGTGACGTGCGTGTAAAATTTCAGGTCATTTGGACGAGGTTTGATAGACTTTCTGATCGAAAGCGTGTTTTTAGAGTTTTTGGAATTCTTAGGCTTGAATCCGATGAAAAATAGGTGTTTTGATGTTGTTTTGAGCGCGAAGGTTGCAACAAGTTTGAATGATATTTTAGGATTGCTTGGCAGGTTTGGTTGAGGTTCTGGGGGCCTCGGGTGTGTTTCGGATGCTCAACGGACCATTTTTGGACTTGGAAAGATTGTAGATTTTCTGCTGTTGTGTTTCAGAGAAAACCTTCATCGCGTCCGCAAGGGGGTCTCGCATTCGCGTAGAGCATCTGGGTGAAGCAGCTGAAATGTGCTTCGCGTTCACGAAGGTAAGAACACGTTGGTCTTCGCGTTTGCGACATGGTCCTCGCGTTTGCGTAGGGTCTGCCTGTGTAAGCTATGCGTTTGCGAAAGAGGAATTTGGCCAGCAGGACTTTTGTGCATCGCGTTCGCAATAGTACCTCGCGTTCGCGAAGAAGGAATTACGTGGGTAGATATAAGATTTCAAAACTGAGGGTTTAACTATTTTTATCACAACTTAAGCTTGGGAGCTCGGATTTGAGCGAGATTTTGAGGGATTTTCAGAAATATCGATTTGGTAACGATTCTAGACTCCCTTTTGCTTGTAACCCATTAATCTAAACATGAATTCATCCTTTAATTTCGAAATTTGTATGAAAATTGGGAAAAGTTCTTAGACCAAGCAATTGAGTTTTGATTGGGTATTTGACATCGGATTTGGATAATTTTGGTATGGTTAGAATCGTGAGAGTTTGAGGATTCTGAAACTATAAATTTTACCCGATTTCGAGACGTGAGTCCGAGGGGCATTTTGGTCATTTTACATAATTTCGCGTATTAGCTTAGACTTTAATTGTAGAATCAGTTACTCAAAGTGTTATTTACATTATGAAATTGAATTGAATAAATTTGGGCCATTTGGAGTCGAGTACTCGTGGCAAGAGTGTGGTTTCAGATTGATTTTTGAGCCGGTTCGAGGTAAATGACTTGTCTAACCTTGTGTGGGGGACCTTCTGTAGACATGTAATTTTTTTACCCTCTCCAAAATTTCACCCATTTTAGCATGTAAATATTTTGTTTAGGCCTAATATCGCTATTTCAGCTAATTTTGACTTTTTTACTTTATTTCGTCACAAAAAAATGAATGAAATGAAAATTACAAAAAATAAATAAATTTAGTTACGTATATTTCGTAAATTTAAATAAAAAATATACAAAAATAATACCTTATCTTTATTTTTATATAATCTTGAAAACACAAAAATAGTTTTATGTTTTATAGTTTAGTTCAATTAATTAAAATTAGTTTTATATTTTTATATTATAATTGTACATAATTTTAGAAGGATGAATTAGTTTTAGGTTGGTTTATCCCCTATTTATAAATCTTATAGTCCATTTTTCTAGTCTTTGGCTCAATTCCCTAGCCCATAATTTCTAGACGCATACCCTGACCTAATCCTTAGGCCCATACCTAACACCTAAATATAAACCTACACTATTACACACAATCAGCCGTTTTTTCACCTAGCACAAGAACACACCCAACAAAGGAGCAGCCATATCCTTTTCTTCTGATCTTCTTCATGACCATCAGTCATTCACCTTAAGACTAATAACTCTATCTTAGTATCATTAGCCATGTAAACCAACCATTAGAAACTCCCATTTTTACTATCTAACATCACCAGATCCAACTGAAATTTCATGAAAATCAGTGGCAAAGTAGCCCGCATCAGTCCCAATCTCGGCCATTGAAAATTTCAAGCCTAGTCGAGTACGTCCGAGGTTCGTCGAACTCCAACAAGCCGCGAATTCGAGGTTCTAGAATGGTGGTCTTGACAGTCTTCCAGTGTTGAGCAAACGTAGTCAGATCCTCTTTGCTATAAGGTTATTTTGCACTCTACTAATCTTCCTCTTTAAGACATTTTTGTGATGTCTTTGTTAAGTGGCTTTGAGTTTGAATAAAATGTTACATTTCTGATGAGCATATTATTAAATTTAATCTAATCTTTGTTTGCTCACATCTTGTTTAGTGTTTTTCTTTGATAAATGCTTAGTAGTTTGTATTTGTTAGTGTACTGATGAACATCTCTGTTTATTGCTTGAAAAAGGGAAAACGGTAGTTTATTAGAAATTAGAATCCCGTCGTAAGAACCGTGAATTTGTCTTTTAAGAATTAAAACCTTCTCTTGGTGTATTTTGTTAAATATCTTAAATTAATTTTTGAGTTATTTGATTCTATTTGATAACTCAGGTCGGTGGTTAGTTTGTTTCTGGGTAAAGCAGTAGATTTGTTTGGGACTAATCTCTTGGATTCATTGAGTATCAATATGACATCATTTGGAATATTTTGTTGGTTCAGGCTTAAAACTTAATGTGTGAGGGTTTATTAAAAGAGAACGGAACCTTGTTTATTAATGGGTTAAGTTTTATATTAGCTTTGTTGATAAACCAATATGGAATGCTGTTTGTGCATGACTGAGATGATGTTTGGGAATAAAGATATCTACTGCTTTTGTTAGATTGCTTTTGTTCTCATTTAACGTGCCAAGCTTGCTTAGAACAGGTAAATCCACCCTTCCTTTTCTTTAATGACCAAATACTTGAATAATTTTGTTACCTTAAAATTGTCAGCTTTCCTTTTCTTCCCCTTAGGATTGGTGTATTTGGTAATTGAAATGCCTTGTACGTGAGGTGACGAGTGCGTACTTGTACTAATTATTGGAAATCCAGTTTTCTTAAAGTAATTACTAGTATGTTTCCTTTCCTGTTTCTATTACTTGCACTATTAAGCCTGTTGTTAGCTTAGGAAAGCATGTCTAAGTGACTTAATTGCTTTATTTGCTCGACCTATCTTATTTGACTTATGTGTAGCATGCTAGGCTATAATCACTTGTTGCCTTAATATGAAATTTTTGCCATTTTTGTATATTTTCCTGTTGCTGCTGTGTATTTATTTTGGGACTACGGATGTGGGATTCCGGTAGCTCCCCCTTGTCTGTTTATTTTGGGACTACAGATGTGGGATTCCGGTAGATCCCCCTGCACAGTTGTATGGAACTACGAGAATGCACCCGGTAGATTCCCCCAATACTGGGTATTTACATTTGGGACTACGGAACGGAATTTCGGTAGATTCCGGCGCACTATGAGTTGGACTACGGGACGGGATCCCGGGAGATCTATTGGATATGTACATATGAGACTATATGACGATATTCTGGGAGATCCCCGGTTGTTATTATTGGTGCTGAGCTGTATTTTCTTTCCGTGTTTACCTTGCTTCTGTATAGTTGTTGCTGTCCTGTACATCCTATGTTATTTTACTGTTATACTTATTTATACTGTTCTATTCTATACTGTCGATCTTTATATTTTATTTAACCTCAGTAGGGACCTGACCTTCCTCGTCACTACCTAATCGAGGTTACACTTGACACTTACTGAGTACCGCTGAGGTGTACTCATGCCCCTTCTGCGCATGTTTTTCATATGCAGATCCAGGTACCGCTACTCAGGCCTACCATCCTTGAGGGAGGCGACTGCTCTAGAGATTTCGAGGTACATCTGCCGTGTCCGCAGACCGAGAAGTCCCTTTCTATTCCTGCTTTAGTATTTAGCCCTTTTATATTTTTCTGTTCTTATTAGACATTCCGGACTTAGAGCTATGTAGTATTGATCTTAGCTTGTGATTCGTGGGTTTTCGGGTCTTGGATTTACGTTTTGGTTTTGAGAGTTGAATATGGTGTATGTCGAGTGGCACATTTAAACACTGTTATTACTTTATTGCTGTTTAAAGTCATTTTACTTCCACAAATTTTGGTTTTTCTTCCACAATTTAGGTTTACCTAGTCATAGAGGTTAGGTACCGTCACAATGGTTCATGGAGTGCGAATCGGGGTCGTGACAAGTTGGTATTAGAGCTCTAAGTTCATAGGAGTCATGGATCCTAAGCCGGTTTATTAGAGTCTCGCTGATCAGTACAGAGACATTTGTACTTATCTACAAGAGGCTATGTAACTGTTAGGAAAATTCCACTTCATTTGATTTCCTTGTCGTGCCATATTTTGACATTACAATTCTAAACTTTTGTCTTCTATTCTCTCACAGATTATGAGGACACCTGCTACCCGAGATGATCAGGCACCTGCACCCCTTACTACAGCCGGTAGAGGCTGGGGCCGAGGTAGAGGTCGAGGACGCGCACATGGTGCAGCCAGAGCACTTGCGCGAGCTGCTGCCGAGGTACCACCAGCAATTCTAGTCGGAGTCCAGGCACCTGACACGCCTACTGCTACCACTACTCCAACTCTTTAGGAGACTTTGGCACAGTTCATGAACATGTACACCATTCTGGCTCAGGCAGGGTTGCTTCCCCTCGCTGCAGCCACATCTCAGGCCGGGGGAGGAGCATAGACTCCCGCCGCTCGCTCTCTTGAGCAGTGAGTGCATGTTGAGCAGGTCCCTGAGATTATTCCTATACCGCCTGTAGTGCCGGTTCAGCCCGAGGACGGGGTAGCAGCTTCCGAGGATGAGCAGTTGAGGCTTGAGAGGTTCAAGAAGTACAATCCCCTGTATACAGTGGTCTAGCATCGGACGATGCTCTAGGATTTCTAGATGAGTGTTATCGCATTATTCGTACCATGGGTATATCAGGATCGAGCAGGGTTTCCTTCACCACTTTCCAGCTTCGAGGGGCCACCTATGAGTGGTGGCGCACCTATGAGTTAGACAGTCTAGATGAGGCTACTTCATTGACTTGGACTCAGTTTTCATATCTGTTCCTGAGGGAGTATGTTCCTTAGAGCCTCAGGGACGCGTGACGCGCAGAGTTTAAGCATTTGCGCCAGGTTGCTATGACCGTGTCAGAGTATGCAGTCCGTTATACCAACTTGGCTAGACATGCACCAGCCTTGGTTTCTACTGTCCGCGAGAGGGTTCACCGGTTTATTGAGGGCCTTATTCCCAGCATCAGATCTAGCATGGCTCGTGAGTTGAAGATGAATATTTTTTATCAGTAGGTGGTGAGTATTGTTAGGAGGATAGAGGGTATGCATGCTAGGGAGAGAGAGGAGAGGGAGGCCAAGAGGTCTCGAGAGTCGGTCCACTTCTTTGGTGCCCGTGCCCCAGCTGCAGGTCGTCATGGTAGGGGTTATATGAGTCACCCTATTCATTCAACTCTTCCAACAACAGTAGTGCTCCAGCTCCTCCTAGGCCTCAGGAGCCTTATTATGCACCTCCGGTTTCTAGCGCGCCTCCTGCGTTGGGTGCTTTTAGAGATCAGTCCAGCAGACCTGGCCCGAGCCATTCACAACCACCACTTTCTCTCAAAGCTTATTTTGAGTGTGGTGACACACATCATATGGTGAGGGATTTCCCTAGACTTGGGAGGGGTGCACCTCCATAGACTTCTCAGCCATAACATGCCCCGCAGAGTTCTCAGGCTATGGTTACAGCTCCAGTTGCTACCCCACCTGCTCAGCCAGCTAGAGGTGGAGGTCGAGGAGGTAGAGGTCGCCCTAGAGAGGGAGGTCAGGCCAGATACTATGCCCTTCCTGCCCATACCGAGCTTGTTGCCTCTGATTTTGTCATCACAGGTATTATACTGGTTTGTTATAGAGATGCATCGATTCTATTCGATCCAGGCTCCACTTATTCTTATGTGTCTTCTTATTTTACTCCGCATTTGGGTGTATCTCGGGATTTTTTTGAGTTCCCCTATTTATGTTTCTACTCCTGTGGGAGATTCTCTTGTTGTGGACCGCGTTTACCGGTCGTGTTTGGTTGCTCTTAGTGGTTTTGAGACCAAAGCTGATTTATTGTTACTCAGTATGGTTGACTTCGATATTATCTTGGGCATGGACTGGTTGTCGCCCCATTATGCTATTCTTGATTGTCATGCCAAAACCGTGACGCTGGCTATGCCAGGTATACTGTGTGTTGAGTGGAGGGGTACTTTAGATCACACTCGCAGTAGAGTTATTTCTTTTTTTAAAGTTCAGCGTATGGTTGAAAAGGGGTGTGGCGCGTATTTAGCTTATGTGAAAGATGTCTGCGTTGATACCCCTTCAATTGATTCAGTTCCAGTAGTACGGGATTTTTCCAATGTGTTTCCAGCTGATCTCCCAGGCATGCTGCCTGATAGAGATATTGATTTTGGCATTGACCTGTTGCCGGGCACTCAGCCCATTTCTATTCCTCCATATCGTATGGCTCCTTCTGAGTTGAAGGTTCAGTTACAAGAATTGCTTGATAAGGGTTTTATTCGGCCCAGTGTATCACATTGGGGTGCTTCTGTCTTGTTTGTGAAGAAAAAGGATGGTTCCATGTGTATGTGCATTGATTATCACTAGTTGAACAAGGTTATAGTGAAGAACCGTTATCCTTTGTCTCGTATTGATGATCTATTTGACCAACTTCAGGGCGCACATGTGTTTTCTAAGATTGACTTGCGCTCAAGTTACCATCAGTTGAAGATTCGGGAGCTAGATATCTCGAAGACTACTTTTAGGACCCGGTATGATCATTATGAGTTCCTTGTTATGTCATTTGGGCTGACCAATGTCCCAGCAGCCTTTATGTATTTGATGCATAGTGTGTTTCGGCCGTATCTTGACTCGTTCGTCATTGTCTTTATTGATGATATTCTGGTGTATTCCTGAAGTCGGGAAGATCATGAGCAGCACCTGAAGACTGTGCTTCAGACTCTTAGGGAGAAGAAGTTGTATGCTAAGTTCTCGAAATGTGAGTTTTGGTTGGATTCAGTGACTTTCTTAGGCTAAGTGGTATCGAGTGAGGGTATTCAGGTGGATTCGAAGAAGATAAAGGCCGTGCAGAGTTGGCCCAGACCATCCTCAGCTACCGAGATCCGTAGTTTCCTTGGTTTGGCGAGCTACTACCGTCATTTTGTGGAAGGGTTTTCATCGATTGCGGCCCCTATGACCAGGTTGACTCAGAAGGGTGCTCCGTTCCAGTGGATAGAAGAGTGTGAGGCGAGCTTTCAGAAGCTCAAGACAGCTTTGACCACAACCCTAATTTTCATATTGCCTACAGGTTCGGGGTCTTATACAGTCTATTGTGATGCCTCGAGGTTTGTCCTCGGAGCGGTGTTGATGCAGGATGGTAGGGTGATTACCTACGTGTACAGACAGTTGAAGATACATGAGAAGAACTACCCTGTTCACGACCTTGAGTTAGCTGCCATTGTTCATGCCCTGAAGATTTGGCACAATTACTTATACGGTGTGTCTTTTGAGATTTATACTGACTATCGGAGCTTGCAACACTTGTTCAAGCAAAAGAATCTAAATTTGCGCGAGAGGAGGTGGTTAGAGATGCTGAAGGACTATGATATCACTATTCTGTATCACCTGGGCAAGGCCAATGTGGTGGCCGATGCTTTGAGTAGCCGGGCGGAGATTTTGGGAAGTTTGGCTTATTTACCAGCATCGGAGAGGCCTATGGCGATGGATATTCAGGCCTTAGCCAGCCAGTTTGTGAGAATGGATCTTTGGGAGCCCAGCCGGGTTCTAGCTTGTGTGGTTTCTCGGTCTTCCTTATTTGACCGTATCAGGGAGTAGCAGTATGATGACCCCTATTTGCTTGTCCTCAAGGACAAGGTTCAGCACGGTGATGCTAGAGATATAACTATTAGTAATGATGGGGTATTGAGGATGCATGGTCGGATTTGTGTACCCAATGTTGATGGGCTGCGAGAGTTGATTCTAGAGGAGGCCCATAGTTTACGGTATTCCATCTATCCGGGTGTCGCGAAGATGTATCAGGATTTGAGGCAGCACTATTGGTGGATGCGGATGAAGAAAGATATAATTGGGTTCGTAGCTCGGTGTCTCAACTGTCAGCAGGTGAAGTATGAGCACCAGAGACCGGGTGGGTTGCTTCAGCAGATAAAGATTCTGGAGTGGAAGTGGGAGCGGATCACCATGGACTTTGTAGTTGGGCTCCCACGGACTTTGAGGAAGTTTGATGCTATTTGGGTGATTGTGGATCGGCTGACCATGTCCGCTCATTTCATTTATGTTTGTACTACTTATTCTTCGGAGCGGCTGACATAGATTTATATCCGGGATATTGTTCGTCCGTATGGTATTCCAATGTCCATCATTTCAGATAGAGGTCCTCAATTCACATCACTGTTCTGGAGGGCCGTTCAACATGAGTTGGGTACTCGGGTGGAGTTGAGTACATCATTTCACCCTCAGATGGACGGACAATCCAAGCGCAATATTCAGATTCTTGAGGATATGCTCCATGCGTATGTGATTGAGTTTGGAGGGTCTTAGGATCAGTTCTTGCCATTGGCAAAGTTTGCCTATAACAACACCTATTAGTCCAGCATTCAGATGGCACCATATGAGGCTTTTTATGGGAGATGGTGTAGAACCCCGGTGGGTTGGTTTGATCCGGGTGAGGCTAGACTATTGGGCACAAACTTGGTTCAGGATGCTTTAGAGAAGGTTAAGGTGATTCAGGATAGACTCTATACAGCCCAGTCCAGACAGAAGAGTTAATCCTATATGGTTGGAGAGCAGGTTCTGCTTCGGGTTTCGCCTATGAAGGAGTTATGAGAGTTGGGAAAAAGGGAAAGTTGAGTCCTAGGTTTATTGGCCCTTTTGAGATATTGAGGCGTGTTGGGGAGGTTGCTTATGAGCTTGCCTTACCTCCCAACTTGGCCGGAGTTCATCCGGTATTTCATGTTTCGATGCTCCGGAGGTATCACGGTGATCCGTTGCACGTGTTGGATTTCAGTTCAATCCAGTTGGACAAGGATCTATCTTATGTTGAGGAGCCAGTGGCAATATTGGACAAGCAGGTTAGAAAGCTGAGGTCAAAGAACATTGCATTAGTGAAGGTTTAGTGGCAGGGTCAGCCGGTCGAGGAGGCGACCTGGGAGGCCGAGTAGGATATGCGCAGACGTTACCCTCATCTTTTCACTACTTCAGGTATGTCATTATGCTCGTTCGAGGATGAAAGAATGTTTAAGTATAGGAGGATGTGACGACCCGGCCGGTTGTCTTAAGAATTTACGCCCCGATCCCCTATTAACTTCTTTCCCCAAGTTTATTTCTGCTAATTTGATTTGTCGAGATGTTCGGTTTTGAGTTTCGGAGAGTTTTGGGACACTTAGTCCCTAAATAAGAGCTTAAGTGTTGGAGAGTTTACCGTAGCCAGAGCAGTGTGAAGACGTCCTCGGAATGGAAATTAGATGGTTCCGTTAGCTCCGTTGGG